CTGCATCAAATGCCATGATAGGATGGAGAGAGAGCCTGACTTAAGCAAAGCGAAAGAAGGTGGGTGCAGTCCTCGGCATCTGTCATGCAGCTCTCAACTCACAACACACTCTCATTGATGCAGTGCGCTACATCAATGAGTGTGTGAGTATGAACTAAATTTAGAACGTGCTCACTCAACACCCACTCAAATGTCACTGTGCATATAAATGCGCTACATGTGGGGCAGCGTATTCACAGCATCAGTGCGAGTGATCAGTGCAAGTGGGAGCGAAATGAGTGTGCAAACAGGGGAGACAATTGTACTCTACGCTGTTCTACTGCTCAACATCGTGGCCTTCACTAACGATGGGTGGATATGTGGAAGCCTCTACTCGCAGACGTGCCTCGAGGCATCATACGTGATAGTGGTTGTGGTGGGTGTCCTCACCACGGCCATTGTGCTCTCCCTCATCGTCGCCATCTTGCAAACCGTTGTCGCGTTCATCGACCCCGACTCCAGCACGTCACGCAGACTGCAAGTGAGCGCCAAAGTGCTCGCATGCCTCGTGGCGATTCTCGACGTGTTCGCCATCTTCTACTACTACAGTCACCTCACAATACGCATGTGGAGCCACATCATCGCTGCGCTGTGTGCAGGCATGGCCATGGCGATCACCATCACCAAACTCAGCTACGGCTATATTGCGGACCAATGATGTCCGCATTTCCACGCCTACCTAACACTTTCCCTTCCCATCTGCATTGCCCCCTACTTTTTAATAAACCATTATCGCCTTACATCAACTGGTGGTTGGGTGAATACTGAGGGCAGGCTGGAGAAATGCATCTCACATATGTCTCTACCGGTGGCGAATAATTACTCATAGATTGGTTGTGTGATTTGCAATGGTGCATTTCCCATGTGTGAAGTAAGCATCCATGCTTGGACCTGCTCATCGCGGATATTAGATTTCGCCTCAACTACTTTAGGTATTAATATCCTACGGGACGACATCACGCACTGTGCAGCACAGAAATATTTCAACACAATCTATTTTTGTTATGAATACGCGTTTGTCATCTCTAAGCCAAACTGTGACCTACGCCTAACCACAAGATTGATGTGTTTTGACCAACCGTCACCTCAAAGTTGCCTTTAAACTGATATTCATT